GACAGTTACCAATCTCCACTCGCAGCCAATTCTCCAGCCTTGAGACGTAAAATAGCTCTTACGACTCAGAAGAGAGACCCAAAAAAATCGTCACCACCACCTGCAAGGAATTCAGTTCCCAAATAACTTTTCCCACCAACGCTGTACTCAGTGGAGGTCGATGATTGACTGGTTCCTCCCGCCCCACTCTGCCTCCTCCTCGGGAGATGGGCACTAGTACTGTCCCCACTCTACAGGCGGGGAAACTAAGGCGGAAAGAGGTACAGTAAATGGCCCACGGTCATGAGAGAAAGCAGAGCTGGGATTTGAACCCTGGTTATCTGGCTCCAACCCCATGTTCTTAACCACGATTTATGGCCTCTCATTGTAAGGAAAAAATACTTGCCAGGCTCGGTGGCTCAGCCTGTCATCCCGCGCCTTTGGGAGGCTGAGGGGAGTGGATTGCCTGAGCCCGTGGGTTCGAGACCCACCTGGGCAGCGAGACCTCATCTCTACAATAAATCAAAAAATCACCTGGGCATGGTAGCACACGCCTGTAATTCTGGCTATTCAGAAGGCTAAGGCAGAAGGATCACCGGAGCCCAGCAGGTCGAGGCTGCGGTGGCCAGAAGCGGCCACTGCACTCCAGTCTGGGCGACAGAGTGAGACTCCAACTCAAAAAAAAAAATACTCGAGCTATATATTACTTGTCTTGAACATCATTTTAATGTGTTCTTTGGCAATACCACAATGTCTTAAATGTCTACCTTGGTTCATCCCAGGCTTGAAGCTTCCAATTTAGTATTCGTTAAATGCCAAACTGACATATTCATGTTTAAATATACATGAAAAAGTTACAGCAAACAAACCTAAAACCTTTTCATGAGCTGATGGCTGGAATGCTCATCTTTTGCTCAGCGTTCTTGTGATTTTTCTTTCTTACAATCAAGGATTGGCCTCAAGCTGCTACTTGGAAGCCCCCAAATAAAGCATCTGAAGTGTGGGCCATCTTTGTAATAAACAAACTCCCAAGTGGACAGAGCCCTCATGACGTTTCTGATGCGAGGTTTGTAAACACCTGAGCTCTGAGGCTGCGAAGACCAGACGATCCGTAAGCACCACTTGGATGCTCCTGCATGGTGGCTGCTGAGGCTTCCTAGTTCACGCCAAACGGTAGACATTAAGTTGTAAATGACTAAAGACAGTCAAGATGATGTAAGTTCCCAAACCAGCACAGGGCTGACACCTGGCCGTGGAGAGGCAAGCCATGTAAAAGGACCCTCGTCCCTCCCTTTCTCCTGGACTGTGAACTAAAGAAGCGGCAGAGCAGCTGAGTGGGAAGACTTGGAAGACGGTAAGACTCAGGAGAGCTGGATGCAATGGCTCACACCACTTTGAGAGGATCACTTGAGACCAGTCTAAGACCAGCCAGGGCAACATGGTGAGACCCTCATCTTCACATTAGCTGGGCATAGTGGCAGCTACTCGGGAGGCTAAGGGAGGAGTGCTTGAGCCTGGAAATTGAAGGCTGCAATGAACTAAGATAGTGCCCGTAAATAGCCACTGCTATGGGCAACATAGCAAGACCCTATCTCTTAAAAAAATAAAAATAGCCGGGCTGGGTCGCTCAGCCTGTAATCCCACGCCTTTGGGAGGCTGAGGTGAGTGGATTGCCTGAGCCCGCGGGTTTGAGACCCGCCTGGGGAGCGAGACCTCATCTCTACGCTAAAAAAAAAAAATCAGCCAGGCGTGGTAGCGCATGCCTGTAATTCCGGCTCCTTGGAAGGCTGAGGCGGAAGGATCGCCGGAGCCCAGCAGATCGAGGCTGCGGTGGCCGGGAGCAGCCACTGCACTCCAGTTTGGGCGACCGAGTGAGACTCCAACTCAAATAAATAAATAAACAAATAAGTAAAATAAAAAATAAAAATATTTTCAAAACTTTAGAATGACCCTTGGAGCCAGGAGGCCTGAGCATGTGAAGGCATGAAAAGGTGACCCTGGCCGGGCTTGGTGGCTCAGCCTGTAATCCCAGCACTTTGGGAGGCCGAGGTGAGTGGATTGCCTGCACCCGCGGGTTCGAGATCCACCCGGGCAACTTGGCAAGACCTCATCTCTACAATAAATCAAAAATTAGCCGGGCATGGTAGCGCGTACCTGGAGTTCCAGCTACTTGGAAGGCTGAGGCGGAAGGATCGCCGGAGTCCAGCAGGTCGAGGCTGCGGTGGCCAGGAGCGGCCACTGCACTCCAGTCTGGGTGACAGGGTGAGACTCCAACTCAAAAAAAAAAAAAGAAAAGGTGACCCTAAAAAGGAAGGTGCCGTGAGGTAGAGAAAACCAGGCACTCGGGCTTCCTGGAGCATCTCCCTAGAGCAGGCCTGCTGCCGACACCCTAACCCCTGAACTAAGCCTCACAGCCACCCCAGGAGGAAAGGGCTGCCAGACTCCCTCTTCACCAAGGGAGGGTAAGAGATGAGATGACTTACCCAGCCGACACAAACCAGTGTGGCCAGTAAGGGGAGGGAGAGATCTGACAAAATGGGCCCAGGTAGCCAGGCCACAGGACAGCGGAGGGCTCCGCCACCTGCAGTGGCTAGAGCAGCTTGGGATTTGAGCCTTGGCCATGGCCCAGTCTCTGAAGCCTACCCCAGCTATGAGTCAGTTGAAGTACCCAGCCCTAGATCCCACCAAGACTCAGCCTGGGTGTTCCTCCGCCCCCTCCTTTCCTGCCTCCCCAAATGCACATGCATCTCCCCAGCCCCCTTTGTGCTGCCCACCTGCAAAGTGCCAGGGACATTCTGAGCCACACAGCACAGCCAGTCAAACCTTTTGGCCCCAAGCCACCCACCCTAGGGAACAGTCACCAGCCAGGGCCAACCTCGCCCACTTGACTGCCACATCCTCAGATCAGAACCATCTGCGCAGCGTCAGCTCAGGCTGGGATCATGAACTGGCCAGGAGGACGTGGCAGACAGCCGCACGGCGGGGCTCAGAGCAAGTGGTTCCAGCCTGACCCTGCACTCCCTGACGCCTGCCTCTACGAGCACCACCCACAACAGGGCAGGGAAAAGGGCCACCAGCGACATGAAGCCCCACAAACACGCAGGCCCCAACTGAGCAAGATGAAAGGCCAGCAGGAAGCAAGACCCTGCCTCAACACAAACCAGAGCTCCCAGGGGGGACGGGCTCTTGGCAGGAAAACAAAGCAGCTGCCGACGTGCTCAAAGCTACAGAGAATGGGGCTCTGAACACAGGTGAGTCAGGGAGGTAACTGAGCTACCCTGTTTCTCCTTTCCCCAGAAGTGTGAGGTCAGAAAGGGCTTGGAGCACTGGAAATTGCTACACAAGAATATACAATGAATGCACCGATGCTCCAAGCTTCATATTTCCAGAAAGTCCAGATCATCCTACTTGGAGTTCTTGTGGCTTCATTTTCCCATTTTTAATTACCTCACCTGCTATTAGACGTATTTCCAAAAGGCTTTGCCTGAGGCTTTAGATTTCTTTTTCTTCCCCCACAGAACAAGTCTTTTAATTTTTATTACAAAAAAAAAGCTTCATTTCTTTGTTTTGCTTTCTGACTGTGCTTGTGCCTTCACTTTCATGATGCTCTTCTGCTCAATAAAAGCACGTTTGATCCTGTCACAAACATGTTTTGCACACATGGAACCACCATAGGTTCTGCTGACATGTTTGTTTTGGACAACCTAAGAACTTTTGGTCTCACAGCACAAACCCCTTGAAGTCTGCCTGGGCACACGACACACAGACTTGGGTGCTTCCCCAGCCTTCTCGTATATAGGCGGACAATCATTACGAGGGACTTGGGACAGCCTAGTTTTGTTAGAGGCTGTATTGTAGAAAGCCTGCAACAGTATGTCAAGCGCTGGGCCATTCTGGGTGCCTTTACACAGCGTCCCAGGAAGAGCGAGGATTTAGATTTCTAAGTGACTTTATTTTATCTCACTAACTTGGATTTAATTTTGAGTCCTAGCTTTTCAAAAACAAAACATACCTATTCATAGTTGCATTTTGAAATCAGGCAAAGTGACCAAAGCGCAGGTGGCTGATTCCTCCGACACTGTCACCAGTGCCATCTGATCCTCAAGACTTGGGGCGAGGAGCCCCATGACCTCATTTACTGAGGTGCAGAAAAGGGTTAGCCGGGCATGGTAGCACACGCCTGTAGTTCCAGCTACTTGGAAGGTTGAGGCGGAAGGATCACCGGAGCCTAGCAGGTCGAGGCTGCGGTGGCCAGGAGCATGCCACTGCACTCCAGTCTGGGCGACAGAGTGAGACTCCAACTCAAAAAAAAAAAAAAAAAAAAGGGGGACATGCTTCCCCCAGGCCAGTGGTGGGGGCCGTCAGGGAAGACTGCCTGGGAGCCCCAGGACCTCTGCTCCCCTCTGTAGTGGGGCCCAGAAAGAACTCATGTCCCCAAAGACCAAAGGCCATTGAGCCTTGCTCCCCTGCCTGGGCACCTCCCTAACAGTTGCTCAGCACAACCATGAGCAGGTACTAGCGTTACCCCATGCACAGGTTAGGAAACTGAGGCACAGAAAGGCTCAGTGAACCCAGGTAGTCTGATGGCCACACTGCAATCCCACCTGCCACTCAGCTGCTGGGAACAACTGAGGCAGCTCAAATACACTTTGCCAAGCTCTTTCCCACAGCAAGGTCTCAGTGAGTCCTCATCAGTGAGGGCCAGCTTTATTGCTCTGTTGAACAGATGAGACTGCAGCACACAAGTCAAGCAACTCGCCAAGAGCTTGCGCGGCAGATCCAGGTCAGAAACCCAGGCCTGTTCTTCCCCTGCACTGTACCACAGTGAGAAGATGATGGGGGGACAGGCCACCGAGTCAGAAGCCCACAGGTCCCCAACTCCCTTAAGACTTTATTCTCTCAACAGACCCCAAAGCCCATTTCCCAGAAGTGCACTGGAGGAAGGTGCCCGGAGGCAGCTGGGCAAGACACGTCGGCCCCTTCCCCGGGGCAGAGGGGGCCCGTGGAGCGTCTGAAGGCAGCAGCGAGGAGGCCGAGGCGGCACAGGCCAAGGCGGCAGACGGCGGCAGGAGGGCGGAGGCCCGGCGAGCCTGGAACGGTGGCTACTTGAGGCGATAGAGGACCTTCCGCTGCATGCGGTGCTGGATCTCCCCACGTCGCAGCATGAGCTGCAGCACCTTGTGGACAGCGTGCTCCGGGTATTTCTGCGGGGGCACACGCAGCTGAAGGACCCCGATGGAGCTCTATGGCCCCTGCTCACGGGGACCCAGGCTCCAACATAAGGACTCCCCGTTCCTGAGCGCTCATGGCGGGCACTGGAGCCTGGCAGACCTGGGCCTCTGACCTCAGCGTTCACATTCACTCACTCGTTCCACCTTCCACCCCCAACACCCCCATGCAGCTGGTGCTAGGGTTATCCCCATCCTATAAGGGAGGAAACTGAGGCCCTGAGGCAGTCATCTGTTCAGGGTCACAGAACAATTAGGCGACAGAGCTGAGACTGAAGTCCCTCTAGCTCCGGAAACCTCTGCCTCAGTTTGCCCATCTACAGAAAAGACACGGCACCACCCACTAATAAAGCTGCCCTGAGAGTCAGAACAGGATCATGTGCAGAAAAGGAGGCAGAGGCCAGGAACTGAGGCTGCTCTTGTGATCAAGGTAACAGTTCTCCACAGCACCCAGAAGGCCCTTCCCCTCTCCAGGGGTCAACAGCACATGCCCAAGAGGTGGAGAGCTCAGCCTACTGGTTCTACCCCTTCCCACCCACGAAAAGCCAGGCAACGGGAGAAGGAATGATGGGAAGGGCTAGGAGGAATCCGGGTATGGTGTCACACCAATTTCCTCCCCTTTCCCCTTCATGGACTAGAAAAAGTAGCCCTGCCGCTGACTGAAGACATTCCCAGGGAAGGAATGATGGCGGGAAAAGGTCTGGACAAGGGACAGGAACCCTACCCTCCACCATCCAGGGCCTGTCTCTCAAGCAAAAGGACAGCAATGCCAGGTGGGTGGAATCCAGCTATACTCCATGCAAGCTCACAACCCCCTCACTCCACCCCTGTCCCAAGCGGGCTCACCTGCTTGGTGAAGTCCTGGATGATGCTGTGCTCGGACACCTGGGAACCAATGGCAAAGCGACGTTTGAGCTGCTTCTCGATGCGGCTCAGCATTTCCTGGTCCTCCTGACTGGTGAAGCCCTCCACCCCTGGTGGGAATGAGAAGCGAGAGGATGGGGTCAGGGCTGCCAGGACCCCAGCCCGCCCAGAGCGGGAGTTCAGGAGAGGTGGAGGCCTAGCCCGGGGAAGAGGGGAGCCAGGCCCAGGGAGATAGGACAGCACATGTGGGGGGAAGACACTTCAAATTGAGCGCATAGCAGGCACACAGGCCCACAGGACCTGGCCCCTTAGGCCACAGCACAGGTTTTGCTGGAGAAGTGGATTGGGCATGGAGAGTGACCAGGAGGGAAGCCAGGCTGCCCTGGAGACCACATCTGCGGAGGACCCTTGAGCCCTCGACAACCAGGCTTGTGATCACCAAACGCTGCAGTGGAAGGAGTCTCCCGTGCTGACCAGCCCTGCAGAGCTTTGGTGCTTCAGCTAAAGAAGAGGGCAGGGTCGTAAGTGAGAAGTCACTGAGGGGAGTCTGAAGCAAATACCTACACAGCCTGCAAGGCCCAACTCAAATGGTCACCCGCCCTAAATCACCCCTACCCCCTGTGCCTGCAGCATCTGAGAGGCCTCCACCAGCAACCATGGCTTGTGACAAGAAGGGCCACGAGGGCAGGGCCTGGGTCTTCACCAAGGGGCGAGGAGGAGCAGGCCCCACTGGAACATGCGAAGCCCACCCCCGCTTTGGGTTCACTGACACTTAGTGCTCCCTCCCCCTAGGGAACTCCTCCCCAGGGCGAATTTCCCTCACCAGGTCCCTGCTCAGTGTCACCTCCTCACCGAGGCCACACCCAACCAACCGATGGGAAACAGCAGCCCCTCCTCCAACACACCTGGCCCAGCCATCACCCCCCCCACTCTTCACTACCTGAACTTGTGCTTTTCTTTGTCGCCTGTCTTTCCCCACTAGAATGAGAAAGAGCATCCCAGAGCACGGGGACCTTGCGATCTCTTTGCTCCTACACTCTCAGCACCGAGAACAGTGCCTGGCAAACAGTAACGCACTCACGCAGCACCTGCTGGTGAAAAAATGGATGGACAGCCTGGCCATAATCAATTCTTGGGGCAGCTGAAAGACTGGTCTAAAGCAGGCAACGCAGTTTATGCTGGGGAAAACGCTGGTCTACTGGCAGGAGACCCGCATTCCAGCCAAGCGACCGGTGACCCCCGGCACCAAGAAAGGCCTCGCTGAGGGTCATCGTTCTCATCTCTGAGACCAAAAGGACTAACTGCCCACACCTGCTTCCAGAAAGCTGCTGTAAGGAAAAGTGAGGGAAATAGCTTTGGAAGTGCTGAAAATGGTCAGGAAGCAATGAACAAGAGTGCCTGTCCTCTGAGCCAGTGACAAGGATGTGGTTGTCACTAACCACCTGGGTCAAGAGGACCTGGGATCAGGAGAAAAACTGCTGCTTCTCATCTTTGGAGGAAGATGGCCAGGGAGAGAAACGGGGTGAGGGTCTTATCGCCCTAAGGAAGCTCAGAGAAGCTCAGCAAACGTGGAGAAGCCACACACACCGCAGGCCTCCCGCAGGACGAGCCCCGCCCACGAGCTCTGTGCTGGGGAGTCCACAGACCGCCCAAGACCACGGCCTCTGCACTGCTCACCTGACAGGGTGCCTGACAAGGCGGCATCCAGAGTGGACACCTGGAAGAGCCTCAGAGCCTCCTCCACATCTGCCTCTGTGGCAAAGGGCTGCAGCTTCATCTTGCTGAGGGCCTCGGCAATGCGCACAATGGCCTCCAACTGCCTGGGGGAGTGACAAGATGCATGGGTGACCTCAGCCCTCTTCCCTCCTGGCCACCCCCAACACCAAGAGGCACTTGCCCAGAGAGTGGATACAGTGGAAACAGCTGTTCCCATATGCATCTCCCTTTTAGTCTTACCTAAGGAACCCTGATCTTTACCGCATGCCCAGCAACATGCTAAGACACTTCCCAGCCTCTTTTGCACCCAGGTGTGCCTGTGTGACCAAACCGTGGCCAACAAGTTTTAAGAGTCCAAGCATCATGGGGGATCTCAGGAAATGTCCTTAAAGGGAGAACCCTTTTTTTCTTCCTCTCCTGCTGCCTGGAATATGGACAGGATGGCAGCGATCCCAGCAGCCACCTTGAACTACGAAGGGAGTTCAAGGTTGAGGAGACCCCACCAGTCCAGCACACCCACCTCCTGACCGCACTACATAAAAGAGAATCAACTTCCAATTTATTGATGCTACTCCCTGTGGGTCTGCCATTACATATAGCCACATCCCCTCCTACCCAGTCAATGCTGGAGGCAGAATTCAAACCAGGCAGATCCCAGCTCCTACCCACTATCCTGTCCCTATAAACCCAAGAGAGGCCAGGCTCGGTGGCTTAAGCCTATAATCCCAGCGTTCTGGGAGACCTAGGGGAGAGGATTGCCTGAGCCCATGGGTTCAAGACCAGCCCAGACAACTTGGCGAGACCTTGTCTCTACAATAAATTGAAATATCAGCTGGGTCATGGTGGCATGCACCTGTGGTTCCAGCTACTTGGAAGGCTGAGGTGGAAGAATCGCCGGAGTCCAGCAGGTAGAGGCTGCGGTAGCCGTGAATGTGCCACTGCACTCCAGTCTGGGCGATGAAAAAGACTTCAACTCAAAAAACAAAAAATAAAATAAACCCATGAGAACAAGCAGAGTTAAGAGCTAAGAAAACTGAGGACCAGCCGGGCTCGGTGGCTAATCCCAGTGTAATCCCAGTGCTTTGGGAGGCTGAGGTGAGTGGATTGCCTGAGCCCGCAGGCTCGAGACCCGCCTGGGCAACTTGGCGAGACCTCATCTCTACAATAAATCAAAAATTAGCTGGGTGTGGTAGCACACGCCTGTAGTCCCAGCTACTTGGAAGGCTGAGGCGGAAGGATCGCCGGAGCCCAGCAGGTCGAGGCTGCAGTGGCCGGGAGTGGCCACTGAACTCCAGACTGGGTAACAGAGTGAGACTCCAACTCAAAAAAAAAAAAAGAAAGAAAGAAAACTGAGGACCAAAGAAGGAAAGCCATTTCCCTGCCATCACAAAGTGGGTTAGAAGCCAAGCCTAGACCCACATCTGACTCTGGCCTGGGTTCTTCCCTACCCTCAGGCCTCCGCACAGTTGGAGAAGACAGGCCAAATTCAGAAAAGGGGCCAGGTTTTCCCAGCCTCAAACACACCAAGAAGCACAGACCACCAAGGAGGCCACGGCTTATGCTCCAAGAGGATGCCTCCTGACCAGGCCCTAACATGGACCTGTGCCAGGTGACTGCAATGGATCACTGCCCCTGGCTGCCAGGCTTACCCTGCTTCAGAAGCGAGGTCGTCTGCCCAGCTCTGCCCTGCCTCCTGCTTACCTCACAGTGATGGGGATGCTGGAGCGGCGGTCGCTATCCCTCTCGTGCTGACGGGCCCCGCTCCGCATGATGATGTAGCGGTTCTTCAGCTTCTCTGCAGCCTCTGCCGACAGCCGGGGGCCACACTTCCTGCAGGACAGTGGGGAGCAGCCAGGGTGAGGCCAGGAGGGAATCTTGGGGCACCCACCTGGCCCCCGGCCCTCTGCTGGCTTGCAGACATGCACTTTCCCCCCAACACAGCAGCTGCCTGCTCACATGGGCCAGGGGCAACATTTGAAAGAGATGCAAGCAAAGCCTGGGCTGGCTGTGGGCAGGCACCACAGAGATCAGCACAGGAGAAAACTGGTGCCTCTGTCAGAAAACAAGTGAAGGGAAGTCAGGCATGTCTGCGGGATGAAAACCGTCCTTCCTCACTGCTGGATATTGTACAGCGCCTTGACTTGAGGTGAGCACAGAGCTAACAATGGCACCATCACAGAGGCAGAGGCCCACTGGGTGGTGGCTTTCACAGGTTCTCAAACTTCTCCACCCCAAGACACCTAAAGACAGGACAAGCTGAAGACGCCCACAACAGGCTTGGCAGTGACTGCAGTCCAGGATCCAAGCAGTAGGTCAGACTCTCCTAGGAGGGTGGGCACAGGGAGGTCTGATCAGCATCCACCCCCACCCAGCCCCTCCACCTCCTACCACTCATCCTAAGGATGAGACTGAGGCCCAGAGCGGGGGAGTGAACACCCCAAGTCTATCTGGGGACAGTGTGGGGGGAAGACCGGAATACAGGGCTTTCTGAGGCACACCTGCAGACCCTAGCCTCTGATGACTGGGCCACACCAAGCTCAGAACGGTGATGAAGACCCAGGGACCATGCACTCAGCCCAGCAGAGATGAGTTAGGGACTCACTGACTGTGGTGCATCAGCCCCTCATTGAAAGGCGCCCAAAGGGTCCTCAATCCTCAGGTTTTAGCTCCTATGAAAGATCCCTGTGATATGTCCGTCAGAGATCTGAGCACCATGGTTAAGGCACCTGGGTTCACATCGTGGTTCCACTATCCCCTGCATCTGACCCTGGACAAGTGACTGAACCTTCCCTTGCTTCAGCTTCCCATCTATAAAATGGAATAATAGTACACCAATCTTACGGGTTTAGGAGGGTTAAAGTCTATTTGCATACAAAATACGATAACACCTGACACAAGTACTACATGTATGACTACTATTATTGAAAATTTACGAGAATAATAATTAAAATGCTGGGTTCGGTGGCTCAGCCTACAATCCTGCGCCTTGGGAGGCTGAGGTGAGTGGATTGCCTGACCCCGTGGTTTCGAGACCCGCCTGGGCAGCGAGGCCTCATCTCTACAATAAAAATCAAAAAATCAGCCAGGCGTGGTAGCACATGCCTGTAATTCTGGCTACTCAGAAGGCTGAGGCGGAAGGATCGCTGGAGCCCAGCAGGTCGAGGCTGCGGTGGCCTGGAGCGGCCACTGCACTCCTGTCTGGTCGACAGAGTGAGACTCCAACTCAAAAAAAAAAAAAAAAAAAAAATAATAATAATAATAATAATAATTATTAAAGTTGTAGCTGCCACTGAGTGTTTACTTGGGCCAGGCTTATACCAAGCACTTACTCACCATCTTGTGCTGTCCTTACAAAAACCCTAGGAAACATCAGCCTGGGGAAAATCAAGGCTCAGAAACGTTGACTGACTTGCCCAAGGTCACACAGTGCGGGGGTGGGTGTCACCCAGAGCCCACATCCACAATTTCCACAAAGCACTGCCTCCCTGCACATCAGACTGAAGGCAGTCTTCAAGGCTATCTAATCCTAACCCCTTGGTGTAAAGACAGGAAACTGAAGCCAAGGTCCAGAGGAGCAGCTTCAGCAGAGCCAAGGACCTCAGAGAGGCATCATCTGGGACGTCCTGCGTGAGGAGCAGGACCAGGGAACCAGGTTCTCTCTCAACCAGGGAAGTCAGGCAACCCTACTGGCATGGAATTGCATCTAGGACTCACGCTCGGCAGTAGGCAATGAACTTCTTCAGCTTGGCCAGCTCGATCTCGCCCTCCACAGCCTGTGTCTGTGTCAGCGCGCTCACATGCAGAGTGATGACATGTTTGGCCAGCATCTGGGTGGTGAGGGGAACACTGGGTCAGCCCACAGGCTCCCGAGCCTAGGTCCCAACAAATGGTGAAGCAAGAAAAACGAGTCAAGCCGGGCTCGGTGGCTCAGCCTGTAATCCCGCGCCTTTGGGAGGCTGAGGTGAGTGGATTGCCTGAGCCTGAGGGTTCGAGACCCGCCTGGGC